CTCATCAGGGGAGAGAAAAAAAAAGCAGCGCATCTATTCTAAGTTACACTCATTTTATGACAACAAAAAAAAAAAAAAAAAGAGCTGTTCTCAATTTATTTGTCATAATTCTAAGAGTCAGATAGAAAATCGCGGTGGCTGACGGTGGTGGATCTCTGCTGCGGGTCTCGTTGAATATCTATATATGGGTATGTGACTGTGATGCAGTGACGTATTATAATGTGTGTTGAGAAGTGAAAGCATGTGAGTGAAATGGGGTGTATTGTGTCGTGTAGTGTATGAGTGCAGCTGAGAGACAATGAGGGGCTGTCAGCAAGTGTGTGTCTGTGTTACGGTGATGTGAATGTGAGAGTGAGAGTGAGAGTGAGAGAGTGAGAGGGAGAATCTCGATATTGTATTTTAGCCATAGAATAAGCGGCTGAGACTCGGTTCTATGTCGGTCTCCTTTTTTTTTTTCCTTTGCGAAAAAATGTATCTGGAAAAATTGATAAGGTTAAAAGGTTATCGTCAAAATTTTAAATATTTTAAGAATTACTAAATTTTTTGTCACATATTTTTTTTTTTTTTTATATTTGCTTTTATGAAATTTATTAATTTATATTCTTTGTTTTTTGTTTGGTTTTTGTATAATTGGGACTCATTAAATAAAAAGGACACAAACCTAATTTTTTATATTTGAGCTTGAATTTTTTTTTTATATTTTCCCTTACGATTTATTAATTTGTTGAGCTTAAATGAATATAGGGTTAAATTTTATTTATATTTTTAATTTTTTTGTCTTTTTTTAATTTCTTTTAAGTTTAAGAAAATAAAATAAATAATTTAATAAATTCGAACAAAATTGAGTGTCGACGTTAATTTCTAAACGTATCCTCTATCTAGATACGTAGTCTTATCCCTCAAAGTCCAAACCAAATTTTAAAAAACTGTGAAGGTTCAAGGAGTCTAATTTTTAGACATACTTGTCCCGACGATGATAATAATAGTAGTAGCGGTGGAATGATCATACTATGTTATGGAAGAATATGTAACAGAATATACTATCTGTTTTCTTCTTTTTTGTAAGGGGTTGGTAACTCATGTACTCATAGTCATCTTATTTTCTTTTCACTAAAAAAAATTGCTTCCATGATTGGATGTGCTTTGTGTTCTCTCTAATTTCTCTTACTTCAAGATCAAGCGTATATGAATTGTAGATGTTTTCCATGTTATTTATTCATTCTCTCAAAGAATATACACTTGTTTAACAACTATCCCTTTTTTGGGTAAAGAAGGGGCCGAGGTAAAAAGGAAACAAACTACGTTGCTACTTGTTTGGATAACATGAAAATAGGGTCACCCACAACAAAAAATTTGCCTCATTTTGAGAGGAAATGAACAAGGAGAAAAGAGAAAGAAGAGGGAGGGAACGGGAGAAGTGATTTAAAAAAAAATATATTAAAATAAAAGATAATAGTTCATTAGAAATTATAATAATATAATAAAAATTTAAAATTTAAAATAATTTTACTTTTTTATAAATACTTTTAATATAATTTATTTATTTATTTTATTGATCCAAACAAACAAATTCCTTTTATTTCAATTCATTCAAATATTAAATATGTTTCATCCTTCTATTTATTTATTTATTTTTTCACTCTATCTAAACATACGTACCTATAATCTTAGGGTTTAGAGGTGGGGAAAAAACTCCATACAATCAACAAGAATAAGCTGCTCTAACACGTTAGGGTTTAGATGGAAAAAAAATCTCTTTTGGGGATTCCCTAATAAACCACTAACCCTAGCTGTTGCCTAATCGAAACTATTTCGCTAATGAAGTTCGAGATGTAGTATAGTGATAGGCTGACGGCTTTATAATTGTGAATATGATTTGGTTCTGTAATGTGGTTACATGAATTGGAAATATCGCGCGCAGATTTGAGTGGATGGCCCTTGCACCAAAATGTTGACTTGATTGGTTTTGATTCATTTGCTTCCATGATTGAGCACCTAAATTACATATAGTGTGTCTGAGCTACTTACATGCTAGAATTTATCGCCATTTCTTTGACCAACATGCATGTTCTCACCAAGTAGTGTCCATAATGTATCTTCTTTTTTTTCTAAGTTTCTCCGTCTTAGTTTAACCTTTTCAAGATTAAGTGAATTCAGTTGCATACTAGCACTCAGTATAAAACCCTAGTGCAACTGGTTTTGTCAGTTCAGAAGGCTTTGGTGTATAAAAATATCGCATGTACAAATGGAAAACACAACTAGATCAGTACATAAAAAAGGAGTAATTAATTCAATTTGACAGATGGTTAGGCCGGAACCTTTTTCTATATATTATTTCCAATTTTATGCAGCTTGAAAATGTTTTTGATGCACTAAATAATGTAGTGGCCGAATAATTGAAGAGAAGAAATATTGGGTTGGGTTTGGACACTTCAGTTGGTGGGGAAATTGCTTGACCCTTTCTCTTGAAGGAATGGTGGAATGCAATCTTAAGGGTGTCTTCACGACTTAAGTGACGATAAAACCTATTAACTAGTAAATTGGAATGTAACGTTTTGTGGGAAACATAGTCGCCTCTGTTGGGCAATTGTGCATTGTAATCTAAATGGAAAGAAATAGGATTGTAAGGAGGGCTCGTCTACTACCCAAGGTTAAGCTTTTTTTTGGCATAAGATGTGAACTATAACTTCACTTTATTAATTTTGTTGCTTTTCTCAATATTGTAATTTTCTTTCGTGTCTTTACTCTATTTTTTTTCGGCTTAATACATGAGAAATTATTAAGAGATTCAAGATCATTATGTATCCATGATCTTGTTTAATCATTATGTTACATGTGACGATACTCATATTTTTTAATTGATTTTATCTAAACAAGAAAAAATTATATTTCACTTATTACATGATGTATAGCCGAAACTATAGATATATGGTGGTTCTAAACCACCTAATAACTTTTCCGAATATGTCTTCTAAAGTCTATCCATTCCAAATTCTGGTAGGCCACATTATTGCGTCAAGTTATCCCTCTGATCTTTCTATAACATCATCTCGCACTTTGGTTTATCTTCAATAACATCTTTCATAAGTTAAGCACTATTTCTTTTGAAGGTCAGCCCACGCATGATATTTTTTTACTTTTTTTTTCATTAATTTTTCAAACTTAGATTTTATTAAAAATAACTAAATTTTATAATTATTTAAAATTTTTGAATTTTGTAGCATCAATTTAAACTGATCAAAGTCTGATGGGGTAATATATTTTTCTCCTTTACATATTATAGCCACAGGATAAGGTCGGATAAGATAAGCTTTTAGCCTATTACAATTTGGAAAGCCCAAGCCCAGTTCACTAGCTTGTGTGCTCCCTTTTTTGGTGAAGACAAGCTTATGTGTAAGTGTAATGGAAGTTGCAACGTTAAAATGATTTTCCTTTCAACGCGATTCCCCAAGGTGCCGTGAAGTGGGGGCAAAGGCAATTATATATATATATATATATATATAAAGGTCAAGCTCTCTATATATATATATAGAAAGAGAGAGAGCTTGACTTTTAAAAGGCTCTGAACATGATGAAATTTAAGTATTATAGATAAGAGGATCATAATTTAGATCTTGAGAGCTGTGATTAAATTAAAATAAAAGAATAATGTGATTTTTTATTCTATTTTATTTTCATATTTATTTAATATGATATGATAGGTGTATCGATTATAAATTATCTGTTGTGAGATTTTTTTTTCCCATTAAACTAGGCTAATCAGTTCAAAACAATAAAATTAATAAATCATCCTAGAAAAATCAACCTCCAAGGATCTTGTGAGAAGATTTTAATTAGAAATAAAAAATATACGATAATATAAGCTTATCTAAGTTATTATTTAATATACATTAAATACAGGATAAGATAAGAACCTATTAAATTTTTATTCTATTAGATGTTTATCTAGCTTAAATATTTATTATTATTTTATTATATCTACGAAACAAGTCCTTAAAATTTTCTTTTTTGAAAAATGTTTCCAATATGCCACACTATTCCATAAAAAAAATTGCACTATGCTATTTCTAATGTAATGTTTCCATACTTTTTAACCTAATTTAATTTAAAAAATTCTAATTTTTTAAAATTGTATTTTAAATAAAGGTTAAAAATATTAAACTAATTTAAAAAATATTATGAAAATTTATATTACCTATTTTCACACATAAAATCATATTTTTTTTAAAAAACCTCTCACACTAAAATCCCTTTATATTTGTCACTGTTTTAAAAAAACTATTTTTTATTTCTTATTTTGGAAGTTTCTAATTATATCTTTACTCTTTTAATTTATTAGAGAGAAATTAATTAATTAGAAAAAAGAATTAGATATAATTTTTATATAAACTAGTACATTGTTTAATTTTTCTTAAATGATGTGAAATAACCTTAAATACATGTAAAGAGAAAAGGAAAACGCACTCTCAATAAAAAAAATTATATTTAAAATTTCTTAATATGTGACACATTAAAAAAATCAAATTTATTATCATTTATAATTTGACACCCATTAAGGAACAATTTGACATGACGAAGTTTAAGTATTATAGATACATCACCAACAAGGAAGCTCTTCAAAATTTGTTTCCCAATTTATGATCGTCCGAGAAAATAATCCTAAAGCCAAAGGAAACTAGGAGCCGTTTGCACTTAAGTAAAAAAAAAAAAAAAGAATTAATTAAAAATGTGCCTAACATTTTCGAAAAAACAATATCTTTTTTCTAATAAGGTTAAAGCTATAAAGAAAAATAATTTGTAAGCAAATTATAAAAATAATTATTTCATAAAATCATTTTTAAAGAAATAATATCAACTTAACTATTATTACCTATTTCCACACATAAAAACATTCCAGTAAAATGAAAAACGGCCTTCGCAAGCAAACATTAACAAATATTTTCATCCCACACACACAGAGTCCCAAATTCTCTTCATAATTTTTTTTTACTACCGACACCTCAGACGAGGGTCTTGCACGCGGAGGTGCGTGGGTCCCACATCGCCGGAAGCAAGAATTTCCGGCCACGCACACCCACCGCGTTGTAGCTAGCACCCGTCGTCTTCTCCACCAAAACGTTACCCGCATAACCCGGATACGCTCCTTTCCCGAATACGCCGGTGCACGCCGACACTGCCTCAAGCGGCGCACTCGCCGACCCCTGGTAGTAACCGTCATCAAACGGATTCGTAACTACCCCCGCCAAAACTGTTGCCAAGTTTATAACGATCCCGTCAATCCCAACGTCGGCGTTCGGTGATACTAACGGCGCCGTTTGAGGACCATAAACGGGTTGGTGGAAGGGCCACGCGCACTGACCCGGACACTGTGTGACAGGATTACCCACCCAAGCGTACGCTATCTTCTTTCCGCTCCGTTTGTTGACCCGACCCGACCCGTGGGTGCCGCACTGGTTCATGCAGAAGTCCTCGACTACCACGTCAGCGGATGTGAGGATGACGTGGACAGCGCGACCGCGTGGTGGGGAAGTTAGTTTGGGGTTGGAGGCGAGTGCGAGGAGGTGGCGCGTTTTGAGTGATTTGCCGAGGGAGTAAGTGTGGTCGAGGATTTGGTTCCCGACGACGAGGGTGGAGGGGCCTCCCCTGTAGCTCTGGGTGGTTTGCCACCATGAGAAGACGGAAGGGGAGTGGTATGACATGGCGCTTAGGGATTGGATGAAATCGAGGATTATGGAGCGTTGTGTAGGGGTGAAGGCACCGTACCATATGAGATGGAGGGTTATATTGCCCTTGAGGAGTGGACCCTTGTGGTACTTGAGGACAAGGGGTTGTTGCTGTACCATAGCCAGCATGCGGTTGGGGGCTCGAGAGGTGGCTTGGGATGTGTTTGGGGATAAGAAAAGGAGGAAGAGAAGAAAGGAATATGTGTACGCAAGAGCCATTGGATATTGGATATACTATTTGATATCGTCAAGTGCTTGGTTTGAGTGAAAGTTGAACTTGAAAGGGGTTGTATTTATATTATTTGATGGAGTAGTGGGCGTGAGGAAGAGTGTGATTTAGAATTGGATAGATAGGGTTTTATGTTAATTAAATGGAAAGCGTGTATTTTTAATGAGAGGGATATTAAGAACCAAGCTACGTGCATGGTTCTTCTTGCAGTTGCTACGCGTTGCCATATAAAATTGGTTGTAATTAAGGAATGGTTTGATAGAGATATTATGAAAGGTAGGCGTTTCCTAGGAATGAGTTTCTGGAACTGTGCTTCCTCAGCCTGCCACCATGTATTGTTCTCATCCTCCGCTGTTACTTCAATTACCACCATGCCGTCATTCACAAAATCAACACACATCCATCTCACTAAATTATACCTTTTTTCCCTTAAAACAAAACTCTATAGTTTTTTAATCAGATAAGTATAAAGTGCTATCTTTTTTTCTTTTATCTGTCAATTTTTATTATTTTTTATTATACTTTTACCTTGCGAAATTTTTAATTATTTTACACACTTAATATAAGATGAATAATTAATTATTCTAAAGTTAAAAACTTAATGAGACCAAATAAAAAAAATTCATAACTTACCGATACACCTTTTTTTTTCAATACTGATAGTTAGTGAGTAAGATTAATAATTAAAAATAATTTATTAATTAAAAAAAGATAAATTTAAAAGTTAGATAACCTTTTTTTTATATAAACTGTAATATTAATAAATTTTTTTAATCATATGAAATAATATTAAATGGAAGATTAAAAAACAGAGGGTATAGTATTCTTTAAAAAATTAAAATATTTTTTAAAAATGTTATTAGTATACATTTAATTCATCTAGACTTTTTATCATTTAATTCATCTAATCATTTTTTTAATTACTAAAAAGATTATATGTGTTTCATTTTCTTGTTATTATTTTCACTATCAAGTATTAAAAATATTAAGGGTCGAAGCATCCCTTATGTATTTTAAATAATATATTTGTCTTATAAAAACAATTAATTTCTAACATTTCGTAAGTATTTTCAATTAAAAAAATTATCCTTTATAGAAAATATTTGTCACCAAGATTTAGTTAGTAAATAAATCAATTTGAATTATCTTTATGTTTTTGAAAGGTTAATTTCTTACTGCGAAATAGAAAACATATTTACTGTACAAAAAAATTACTATATCCTTTTTTAGTATATTCAAGTCCATATCTTATAATAATTATATGCAACGTCTATAAATTTGAAATTAGTCTAATTACAAGCGAATAACAAACTAATGACCACTCCCATTACTTTTCTATTTGTCAACTTTTTAGAGAAAAATTTATTCTTATTTAACTATGTTTTGAAAATTTAAGATAATATTAACAAAGATAAAACTTAAGCATGGTATTGTTTTATACTTTTATTATTATATTTCAATTAAATTAAAGTTTACTTTAATAAATTACGGGATAGAAATTGACACTAAAAATTAATATCAATTATTGAAAAAAAATTAATTTAAAAATAAGACAAAATAATTAAAAAATTCCATTAAGTCTTATCTCATTAATCACTATTTTTTAATTATATGTTTTTATTTAATTGTAAATATTTCGCATATTCTAATTAATGAGATTAAAATAACAGAGTTATATCCATAACTTCAAATAAAAGAGTATTTAGTTAATTGGATAAAAAGGATGGAGTCATAGAAGTTATATTAAGAAATTAAAATAAGTTTTAATATAAGTGAAGATATTAATTATATTTTTTTCAATCGTTAATCGTAATACTCTCTTCTAAAATTGGATAAGATGGCTGGGAATAAATGGAAACTTTAAAGAGCAAAGGTGATGATCAATAAACATTGAAAGGCCAAGTCTAGGTTCATCAGCACTCAACGAAGGGATAAAGTGGAGAATTAATTCCTTATTGATTACAAAAAATTGCTTTGACAACATCAACTATCCAACTATTCGGTCTCAGATAACACGCCACACTACAACTATGTGAAACACAAAATAAATGAAATTGATAGCAGAAAAAATAAATATCCCCACTTAAAATCTGGCAACGCGGATTAATAAATTACCACTAATTAACTTTCTCGGCAACTTGTACTCTTCTAGGCAGATTCATTATGCGTTTTGAAAAGTTAAAATTATTGTGCTGCTGTTTGGATAGAATATGCTCAATTTATTACACCCTATTTGTTATTATTAAGAAATTAACGAAAACGATTGGTGAACAATGAGATATTGTTAAAATGTAGGGTTTTTTTTTTATTTCCCCATGATTCTCCCCAGCCAAATAAAACCAAAGAGAAGGTTGAAAAAGTATGGATTACACAATTTTATTTTTCCCATAGAACTGCACATACGCTGTACTTTAATTGATGATGATAAATACTAGTGTGATCTAAGCCAGAACCCGTGAATGAATGTCATGCACTGATTATTGTGCGGAGAAACATTGGGAAATTGTCGTCCAAATTAATTCCATTGGTTGCAGGGAGATGCACTGAACAGTGTCAATGCTTATGCCAATGGGTGGCGTATGGTGTAGTGATGGTTCTACCGTGACTGTTTACATGTATCTATGGTGGTCCCGTCGTCATTGGATAATGTTGATTGAGATGAGGAATTGCATTGGGACAATCATTTAAAAAAATTTTAATTCATACGAGGAAAATACAAATTGTGATCATCATAGCTTTTACTTACAAATAACAGTAAATAGGAAAGTTTCTAAATGCCATGGTTTTGTGTCAATCGGATGGACGAATAACCATTTACGGCTTTCAAGAAGGCCTTCGCGAAGGAAATTCCTGATTGAGAAGGGAGAGCATTATCGAGAATACATAAGAAATTTAACATTATTGTCTTTCTTTTAATTATAATCCAAATCAGCCATGGTATGCCAAACAAAAAATTCCTGTTAACAACCTAACTTAGTTAATCCACAAAGTTTATTTCTTTTGACTATTTAAAAAGTGTAATATATATGCTAATTTTTTAACGTTAAATTAATCTCTACTGATATAATTTATGTTTAACTGCAATGAAACTAGTAATATGAATATTGTCAATCCATATTAATAGTATGATACATCATGGCAGTGAGATTGCGTTTGTGTGGCATTAACAGTGCGGTTGGTAATGAATGGTAAGTGGTGGGGTCGGGAAAGACGGTTACGCAGAAACGAAAGAGGTGGGAAAGTAGGGGTAATGGTGGGTGAATGGTGAATGAATTTGGGGCAGCATTAACGAGAGTGGGGATACAGAAACCTGTATCATATTTGGACAAATTTATTATAATATTGTAAATTAAAAAATAATTTATTATTTTATAGTAAATCTGAAATAATTTTTTAATTTAGAGTTTTTTTACCACGTAGATTAATTTTTCGTCATAACAGCTGGCGAAAGTAATTAATTTTTGAATTTTTTAATATTTATTTTGCTACAAAAAGTATTAGTAGTAATTTTAGAGAGCGGTTCTGGCAGGACCGCTCTCTAATATGTACTTCTAAGAGCGGTTCATAAGGAACCACTCTCTAAAATAGAGTTATGAGAGCGGTTTTAAAATAATCGCTCTAAGAAGTCATATTTCGTATTTTTTGTAGCGAAATAGATATTAAAAAATTCAAAAATTAATTACTTTCGCCAGTCATTATAGCAAAAAATTGATCCACGTAAAAAAAACTATATTAAAAAATTATTTCAAATTTACTATAAAATAATAAATTATTTTTTAATTTACAATATTATAATAAATTTGCCGTCATATTTGGTGTTGTACTCCAAATCCACCGTTCAAGTACTCCGCTCCACACATCCATCTATCGCCCTTGCCTTTGCGTCAGGGAATGCGGGCTCCATGCACAACCCACCCCGTTTAATTTTTATCGCGAACATTTGTATCTATCTTTTTTCACCCAAAATAACCTACCAACTCCTTATCTTTCTATCTGTCTGTTAATTATTCATCTAAGAATAAAAATAAATAAAGTTTTTATTCAAAATATAATTAATTTTTTTCGTAATTTTCTATATAGTTGAATATATTCTCTTAAAAGATTTTACTTTTAAATAGTTAACTAATAATGTTAACAAAATTGGTGTTTATAAAGGAAGAAAAAAGGAAATGATGTAAAAATATTGGGTAGGGTTGACCTATTATATTCTTACCGAAGATATTTGTAACAATATAAAAGGGGTCAAAGATAAAATTTGTTTCCAAATTTTAAATTATCTTATTATACCTTTATTTCTATACATTTATGAGATCTATTATAAATATTGTTTGTTTAAATAAAATTTTGCTCTTCTACAAATTTTTAATTTTTTAATTTGATTTTTTTTAAATCCTCTAAAATTCATTTTTCTTTTCTATATTATTTTTTATATTATCTAATATTCAATTTGATACTTTATGATAAATATAAAGTTATATACTTTTATTTTTTATTTTTTATTTTAAACATTAATTCATAAATTATAATTTTATAAATGAAAATTTCATTTAAAAATATAAATTTATGATGTTATTAAGTATATATATTTTATTTATGTTAAGTTTCAATGAAATTATATGAGTCTATTCGAATGTTATTGAACAAATAATAAATTAATTTAAAAAATAATAATAGAGATATAAAATGAAAATAAAATACTAATACCAGAGGCCAAATAAAAAAAATTCATAATTTTTAAAATACCAAACTTTTATTTAAACTATGAAGTTTGTACAAATATAATGCCATTTTAATACGATAAAATATTATACACATACATAATATTTTCTTCATTCTAGAATATGTATTATCTTAAACCATTAAAATTAAATAAAATTTTAAATAAAAAAGTAAATTAAATTACTCTTCTTAAAGCATATATTATTATTTATTAATAATATCTTTAATATTGGATTAATAATTAAATTGGTGAAGATATTGGTTTAATTTT